CCATTTTTGAAAATAGATGCAGTAAAATGTCTATGTGCAGCAGCATTTAATAAAAAAAATCAATTAAGTGTTCACTAAAGAGTGTTACTTCAATTAATAAAGCAAAATCGAATTACTACAACAAAAAATGTAATCATTGCGAAGTTAATGAAGAGGAAATACAGATAATTTGAAACCATTTTAAAAACAAACTTAACTACAGTTCAAGTTAAATATGATCAACTGTAAAACTATAGTTAAAAAGAACAGATGTAAACAATTGCATAACTGTTGTGGTATTAATAAATATAAAGATGCTGGAACTGTTTAGTGGCTAACAACAAAGTCTGTATAACTTTATCACATTGGGATCACAAATTTTGCTTAGGAATTAAAAAAACAAAATAGAAAAGGAGTGGAGAAAATTTTATTACTTAAAACGACAAATTTCAATGTTCTTTTTATGGGAAGGACCATTGCCTAGCCTAGAGCCTAGATCATAAAGCCTAGAGCATGATGCACTAAAGTTGCAACTTAGAATCTATAAATCAAAGAGTATAAAGCTGGCACTCTATGACAGAACAGTAAATAGTTATTTAACTATATATGCTCTAATGTGTTTGTGAAAAAGTTGGAATCTGTTTTTGTAAAATTCAACAATTTATAACAAGAGGCTTATTCAAAAGTTGATAGTAAAAAGGTTAATTAAATCATTTTTATATTTGCTGTTATGACTGTTAACATATTAAGATTTTTGCAACAATTTATAAACAACACTAAGCAGCAGCTGGTTCTGATGTTGCATTTGCCCTTGCTCCTGCTGAAACATTGCCATCATTTCTGTCTCTCTTTACCCTTGCCTCATAATTGTTTTCCTTAATCTCTAGCTCCCGTTGCTTAATTTCCTACTCTCTCTCCATTTCCCTCTCTTTTATCTTAATTTCCTTTTCTTAAATCTCAATCTCTCTTCTTCTTAATTCAAACTCTTCTCTTTTTAGTTCAACCTCTCTCTCAGTCTTTTCTCTCATGTAATGCATCACCTCTGTGTCCTTGTCCCAAACAGTCTTTTTTCTTTTCTTTCCTCCTTCCTGACTCTCCCTCTCTCTTGTCTCTGCCAATCTTTCCATGGATCGCTTTCTAATAGATTCAGCAGTTTCCTTCTCCTTTTCAACAACTTTCCCCCCAACCCTTAACATTACAGCCTGTGCCTCAGTCCCCCTTTCAATTATATCTTGGATGGCTTGCTCTAATTCAGTGGGTTCTGGTGGACTGATACCACTAGCACGCTCTTCCTCTGCCATCTTTCTCTTAAAGCTCCTCTCCAACTTCAAAAAACGGTCTCAGACTGCTCTTTGGTCTACTATAAAATGTGGTTGGCCAATTTTATTTAAATTATTGGCCACGTTATCCCAACTGTGACTACGCTCCCGAGTACCCATTTTGAATTTATAAGGCTCCTCGACAAGGATCTCTCTACAGAGCAGTGTGTCATGCTCAAGGGTCCATGTGATTTTTGGCCTAATTAATAGAACATTGAAATAGGACAAAACTCAATAAAGACACATATCTGACCCAAATCAAGAAAACTGTTATAGAAAACATTCAAAGCAATATACACTGAAATCTTAACACGCAATCTGTACAATCATATTAGATAAATTTAAAAACTATATAGCAGTGTTATAGAATTTTATCATAACAAATTAATTCTGCTTAAGCCAAAATACTTTTACAGTTCAATCTTATACCGAGTTTTACTTGTTATTTTCATAATGTATAGTCTCATTACAACAAAGATCTTGGGGTTGGCTAAAAGGGTATGACAAAAAATCAATGCTGAAAACACGAGCCCTAACCTTCTGGATTCAGGTTTCTGGATCCTAACAGGTGGGGTGTTGTAATTCTTTGTAGCCATTTTTAAGTTGGCATTGCACGAAAAGATAAGAAATTTTGAATATAAATTAACACCTTCTACCGTTAAAAATATGAAATAAGGCTAACAAAAATCAACACACGTTTCCAACAGCTTGTATTACACATAATATTCATTTGGTGCTGGCCTATTGACCTAGAAGTGAGCTTAACATTCGCTTTAAAATTTGGCACAAATTAATGGTCCTATACAGTTGGGACGATAAATATACTACAATGTTCACCAACTTTTGGTCCTTTGTCTCTTTGAGCCCCTGATCAGCCATTCTGCACTTCGTATATGAGCCTATAAAAGGTGGAAGATTGTTCAAAATCTGACAAAAATAGATCACTCAGATTGGAAAAAGAATGAAATCTTCAAACTTAACAAAATCGATGAGTCTTAATCATATACTTACGATGAAAATGTCCACGTTTTCCTCACAACGTAAAATTCCAAAATCTGACTTGCGAAATTGGCCTCCACGCGCTGGATTGGAAAATCATGAGAAGACTGTGCTAGTCCTCCAGCTCGTCTGGACCTGTCGCGTTGTGTTTCATAAACTCTCTATTGTAAGTAGTCCTTCTTTATAGGGCCTCATTTGGTTTTAGTTAGCCTGCACCCCACTCCACAAATACTGCCACATTTATGGACTGTGCAATATTGATAGGTATTCTGTCCAGACAGTCTGGGTCTAGATTATGGAAATATTTTATGCAATGAATCTAGTGGAATTTTGCATGAAAAATACTCGAAAAAATATTCACTGAAGCCAAACAGGACGTAGTGAAGGAAGAGCAGTTTAAAGGTTGGAACCGTTGACAATTTGAGGTAATTGCATAAGTTTGAAGGGTTGCATGAATCCTGGTGAAAACCGTGGACAGGATATTTATCAATATTGCACAGTCCATAAATGTGGCAGCATTCGTGGACTAGGGCACAGGCTAGTTTGCTGTGCTTGCTGCAGTTCCATATGATATTGGCATCCATTGTTGACAACTTGCTATTGATTGAAACTGCTTTGTTAATCAGCCCAAGATGAGTTCATGTAACCAGTTCCAGGTCAACCGATAACATTGCAAGCATGAAAATCATGACTCAACAGTTTTGGGTACGTTTGGGTATACCCTCTTATTTTATTATGATTTCGTGCCTTTTAAGTCAATTAGACTTTAAGAATTCACAAATAGATCTAAATCGCAAATAGATTACAAACAAGTAGATCAAAATAAAAATTTAAAAAAAGGATTTGACAAGGTCAGTTTCCACAAAAAGCATTTCATCTGTTTGATCCTAATCCTGACTACACTATCGGATAGCCTGTGATTAAATTATTTTGCAGAAAATGAATCCTACAGCAGATGTTGAGCCAATGACTTCATCTGGTGCATCCTTTATTCAACTTAAGACCATTGTATCAGACCAATCAATAGATACTCTAGATCAGCATGAACATGACCATCATACGAAGACAAGAAACCAGGAAGAGCAACCACAGCAAAGAGAAACACCATACGATATGTAAGCTGTGGACATGAAAGTCTCACATGATCCTCGTAGTCAAGATCTTGACTTCCATGAAAATACCAGTGATGCATGATTGTCTGGAGCAATTTCACGTTCAGGAGAAGATAATGAGGTAATTATACTTCCGTTTTTTTCAGTTAAAATCATTGCAGTTGCTAAGATGTAGCAACTGATTGCCAGCTACTGACTTGGCTTTTAAAACGAAATGTCCTTTTGGGAAGTAAGTCACGCCATGTCTTCAGATGATGACAAGCATGAAGAGTCTAATACAGAGAAAATTACATGGCTCACCTGTGCAGGACAGCTAGAGAACCTATCAAAGTTTAGCCATGAATGCCAATATGTACTTGATGAAGCAAGGTCGGAAAATATAAGGAAAGCTGAGACGTTTCTTGTTAAAGCATCATAGATGAGCGATCTTGTGCAAGAGCAAGTAAAACACTGTTTACAGCCAATTTAAAAAAAAATCGCAGAGAAGAGCTTGAAATAAAGTGGTTTTGCGAGTTACAATCCAAGTGAACGACCCAAATATCACAACCAGAAAAAGTTTCTTATAGAGATTGGTCTACACCAGCCAAGAGTAACATCATTAACACACAATGAATCATTACCCATTTCCGAGAACACTGAGCTTGTTTGAAATCAAGGATGTACATTTATGGTCTAACAGCACAACTGCTCTAATCTGGTTAGGAAGTAAAGGTACATGGTCTCAGTATGTCAGAAACCAAGTAAAAGCAATAAGAGACTTGGGGTGGTGGCAATGGTCTTACGTACCAACCGTTTCGAACCCTAGTTATTTGGGGGACAAGAGGTGTGCCACCAGTAAAACTTGACGACTTCTGGTTCAAATGACCACAGTGGCTAGCAGACATGCATTCCTGGCCAGTCCAAACGGAAATTGCAAAAACAGAGGAAGCAGCCAGAGAACCGTTGCAACGGAAGAAGGAACAGGTTTTTGTAGAGCAGGAAACTGGGAATCATGATATACACTAATGGATAAATTCACTGATGCAGAAGTTCAACTATTGGAAATTACTTCGAGTAACATCATTGGTTAAGAGATTTGCTGATAACTGCAGAGTCGAAGAAAAGTACGAAGGGCCTATCAAAACTAAAGAGATCAATTCAGCAGAGAATTTTTGGCTAAGGGTTGCCCAAGGAAGTCAAGAGCTGAATAGTCTGATGGAACTGAATAAGGAGTGTAGAAATGTTTTGCAAGAGTACAAGGAAACCACCAAGCCTTCATACCTTGGAAGAGCCTACTTGCAGCAAAGATAATACAGCATTGTCACAAAGAAACATTGCACGGGGGAGTACAGTCAACAATGGGTAAGGTCAGAGAGCGATTTTGGATCCCACAGTTGAGACAAATGTTGACAACAAACAGAGAGATATGGCATCAAGGGTTGCAGTTTTGCCAAGATTTAGAGCTTAATTTGCTGAACCATTGGCAACAACTGGAGTTGATTTCACCGGTCCCTCATACTACAAGGCAAACAAGAAGGAAGTCAAGAAGGCTTACATTGTGCTGTTTACATGCTCAAGCACCAAAGCTGTGCATCTTACCTTGTTCAAGGATATGACTACAGAGGAATTCAAAAGAACTCGGAAGTGGTTTGTTGCAAGAAGAGGCAAACCACACCTCATGGTTAGTGACAACGCAAAGACGCTCCAGGCACAAAGAAATGGTTGGAGAGCTTGCACAGCAATAACAATCAATCAAGTGGGTATTCAACTTGTTGCAGGCCCCTGGTGGCGCCGGTTTTTTGAGCCCCTAATTGGGGTTATGAAGTCAGCACTTTCAAAGGTTATTGAAAATGCATTACTCACATTTGTAGAGCTCAAAGAAACCTTGCTAGATTTTGAGTGCTTCATGAACAATAGGTCACTTACATACCTTGGTAAAGAATTTGACAAGCAAGTAATAACCCCAAACATTATTCTTCGTGGAGAACTAGCAACTCTCTTGAAAGAAAACGGAGATACACTTGAAGAACAAGCAGATGTTGCAAGGTGGCTGAGGTAAACGTTGCAAAGAGCAGCTATCGAGACGATGCATCAGTGAGTACTTGCGTGCACTGGAGGAGAGGAAAAGAACACAAGTTGCATCTGAAGAGAACAAACTGAGTACCGGCAGAGTTGTCCTGATCAAGGATTCAATAAAAGCAAGGGTCAGTCATTGGAAAATTGACCCACATTTTCTTTGCTTTGTTCAACAAAGCAATATCTTAGCTTATCACCTTGAATTTTTTTCTCAGGTTTGCTTTTGTAATGTATCTAGCCTGTAATCGATCTATATGTTATCATCTCTGTATCGTGTTTGTAATGTACTCCTGTCACTATGCTTTCTACTCTGTTGTGTTGTTGTCTATCTTGTTTATTGATTGTAACCAGATTCGTGTATGATAAGTAAATGTAACTCAGAATGCAAGGCAGTCGTGATTCAGGATATGAGGAATACAGGCATATAAACGAGTGTCCTTTATTAGCATTTATGCTACACTTGATTTGTTTCATTTATTTCCCTCTGGTTACTCCATCTAAATCTCGGCTCAAAGAGGCTGTACTCATGTCCATGTGATGAATAAGCATTCGGTTTTTAACTGCAAATTCCAATAGATATCGAACAGAAAAGAACCATACAACTGGAGAAAACAAATTCATCATAACCAATGTCACCCTTTTGTTCATTCTCGTCAGATTCTACTTTGAACAACCAAATGCATCATATAGCCTTGCGGTCTTTCTAATGCTTCATCAACTCCCAGATTTCCTTCTTCATGAGTTTCTGATACTCTGAATCTATAGCTTTTTTTCACTATGCGCACTATTAACTATTCAAGTTTCTTGAATGGTTGCTGGTTCCTTAATTGCTGCTGAAAACACAACATTTCTTGCTTCTTTGAGGTCAGCATAATAATCCTAATTTGTTGATCTTTGAGATCGCCGAGAATGGCTTTCTTCTCAAACTCTGTTCTTTTCTGAAGGCTTTGTTCGCGTTCATCTTTCTTTGCTGTTTCTGGGCTCATCTTCTGCTTTTGAAATACAAAAACAAGAATTTTTTTTAAGTTAATGTCTCTTTTAATCACTGCTTTCTTGTTCTGCACATCAAGAAATCGATACTCTTTCTGATTTGCACTGCAAACCAAGAATCAAAGTATGTTGGCTTTATTTTCTCTGCTAAGCCTCTGATATATGAGCATAGGCTATGCAGCAGAAGATACGAAAGTAGGAGACATCAAGTGGTGTTCCATACAATCTTTCATACGGTGTCTGAATTAATGTACTGCTTATAGCAGGATTTCTAGCCAAAAGTCATGACTTTTATGCCCAGCACACCCAGAAATTTTCAAAACATAATTTTTTTATTTTCAAGAAAATAAACTTTTAAGGGGCAAGTTTTCTTTAGTTATAACCGTCAGTCATTACTGTAAACTTCATTAAGTAGTATTCTGAAACCTTGGTCACCCTGTTAACCTTTTCAAAGCGAAGCAGAGATACGGAAGTGCAACATATTGATCATGACCATAATTAGGTACTTTTTGATTTGGTCATGGCAAAAAATGAAGCTACAATTGACCAGCCTGTCTGTTGCTGCCCAGCAATTGTGAAAATAAATTTTAGTTGTGCCCTCAGAAATTGGCATCATATTAACAAAGTAACTGATAACCTGACCTTAACGATGTGTATCGTTCCAGTGTGATCTCAAACTAGGTTGAAATTTGTGAAATTCAGAAATTTCTTTAATTTGTGCACATAAAATTATTTACATTAGGGATACTGTCTTAAATCTTTTGAAACAGTCTTGCACTTTAAGAAATGTTGCCTCTGTGGCAGGGAAAAATTTTTTTTGCTGGCATTGTCTACTTTTCAGACCTGTGGTGTCAGTCTAGGACAGGCACAGGGTATTCTAACATGCGTATTATCCTGACTGATTGCAAAGAAAATGAGAAGTCAAGGTCTCATTTGGGGACCTACAAGAAAAAGGAGACCTCGCAGTGACACAAAGAGCGTTGAAGTTCTGTTTTCAAGAGCCAGAAGATAAGAAGTTGACCGTTGTAAAGAAGAGGTAAAATAGAACAGGGGTATGTTAAAGATTATTTCAGAGGCTGTCTTATATTTAGCGAAGCAGGAGTTGTCATTCAGAGGGCATTATGAATGCACTCAAAGCATTAATAAGGGGAATTATAACGAGTACCTGGAATGCTATGGCAACTTTGATTCTGTTTTTCATCGGCACCTTCATTGAACATTAGCAGAATCTGATTTTATTAGTGGAGTTTCAGCAGAATGATAAAGCAAATATCCATAATGATTATCCACGACCAAATCGACCAGGAAATAGAATAATGTAGTTTTCCAAGTATTCAGGTCATCAAACCAGGAGAAAATTGACCAGGAAGTAGAAGGATATAAGTTTCTATGTATTCAGGTCAACAAAGGAACAGATATTTTCGAAAAAGAGTAAGTGGGTGCAGTTATACACCTTGACAAAAAGGAGACATTGAAGAAAGATTTTTGAAATTTTCTAATGTCAGTTCTGACAGAACTGGATCTACTATCACTTCAATCATTAAATAATTTTTTAACAAGTATAGATCTTCAAATCAAAAGAGAAGAGATTCTAGAAAGATTTGTAAAATTCTATAATGTCCGTTCTGACAGAACTGCACCTCCCAAAGCAAAACAACTGTCACTTTGATGCTCTATAAATAAATGTATGTTCTGAAGTACACTTAGCAGCCCTGTGAGTAATTGGGCCACAATGATAACACTAGTAGGGAAGTCAACCTGATAATTTTTAGTTTTTTCGTGTGGCTGAAAATTAGCTCACCAGCTGATTTTCAAAAAGAGCTGAAATTTAGCATAATTATAAATTTGTTTCTAACTCAATAGCCCAGCTAGAAAAAAAGTTATTGAATTTCAAAGTATTTTAATGTGCGGTTCTCCTTGGAATAACTTACAGCAAAAAAACTGCAAGGAGTGAGATGAGTAGCACCTTTAAGTTACTTGATAAAAAGACCCTTTGATAGAAAATGTTTAAAAATTCTGAAACCACTCAGGATATGAACACCAAAATTGGCATCCAAGTAGAAAAGGGGAAGTTATTTCAAAAATGATTCTAAAAATAGAATTTGTTGCCATGGCGACTTTTTTTCTCATAGCAACAAGGTTTAAAGGGTCATATTAATTGCAAAACTTGAGTGCGAGTACTCTATTCCACTAATCAGCAACAATTAATAGAGAGTGCGGGAAAATAACCGACCCGAGGGAGGCTCGAACTCACGACCCCTGACTTTGTACGTCAAGTGCTCTACCGCCGAGCTATCAGGTCGTGCTTTCAAGCCAACACCCAAGGCCGAGTCATTCACCCGCACTGCCCCTCTCTTTTACCAGATATACAGGGGAGCCATCGCAGCTCCATCACAAAGTGCAGAGGACCTGAAGAATGAGAGAAGACTGCCCACTTGTCTATAATCAGCAACAAAAATTCTAAAAATAATTTTAAAACTAATCTAAAATTAGCCTGTTGCCATAGTAACAAACATTCGCCTGATGGCAAGCATGATGTTAAAGTTTGTGTTTCAACATGAAAAGGCAACTTATGAAACCACAGTATTCGCAAGACATTTTCAAAATTAAGAACAGGATCTATAATCAGGTCTTGCTTTCTTATAGTCCGGATCTGTAACAAGTGTGATGGATCAGCCTCCCATTTACACTTATCTTACTAGTCCAGAGCAATTTTCGCTACTAGCAATAAATACATAGCTGTGTTGTGGGTCAAAACTGTAAATGGTAAAGTATAAACGTTGTTGAAAAAGGGTTTACAACATTTTACAGAGATACAGATTTGTATGAGAATTAATCAATTTTAACAACTCTGATTATGCTATAACTAGAAACTGTTATTTTGTTTCCCCAGCTCTGTATTCGACTCTACCTTCTCAGTAAGACAAAAGAAAAGCACACTGTTATGAAGATGATTTTCATAATGAAATTAACATATCTGACATTTCCGATTTTGCCCAATATCAGGGCTCATCAGTGTAGCTAGACTGATAAAAAATGGTGTCAGCTACAGACCGGGTTTGCATTCGCTTTCATTGAACTTTGAGATAAGTTATGAATGCTTAGATATCAGCCAAGGAGAAAAGTCTATAGGTTATTTCAATAAATGGTTTTTGACAGAGTAATCTTCTCTGGCCCTAGACAGGTGCTACCGCTCTGGAGCAAGAACGGACCTGGAGCTATAGAGGCAGGACTGCTCAATGCCCTGTATAGCCCAGTATGGGTCTACTCACTACCTTCCAAACCAATCCTACCCTACATTGCTAAAAACACAAGCCTACCCAGAATAAACAACTTAACAACCATATTCACCTAAAGTTAAAGTTCCACTTAAAAAAACTGATCTCTCATGAAGTTATTGATGCCGTACAGGCAGAGCATTGCACATTGATGTAAAGAACAGGATGGTTCTGAGTATTATTTTGATAAATAGTTCAGTCTATCTTATAAACAGCATTACCTATTTACACCTGATTTATGAATTAAAAAGGTTCAGGTTTTGGAAAAAAATTAAATGCACCAGCCAGAAGCTGTAAAGTTGAATGTGAAAAGTGAAAAAAATTAAATGCACCTATTCTTCTCTGCCAAAAACTTGTTTTTTTCTAAAATAAAAACCTTGGATGTGTCTGTCTCAGAAATTTTATCTCTTTCCTTCAGCAATTCCTTATCCTTCTCAGCCTCATTCATAATATTTAAAAGATTCCAAATTAAAACTTATGGACTGTTAGAAACCTATGAATGATTATTGATATATATGATAGAAGTCTCTATGTTTATTTCCTAAGACTTTATTTCTAAACCGTATTGCCAAACAGAGAGCTTCCCTCTTTTTCCCAATCCCAAAAATTTTATCCACCCCTGATAGCACTTCCTCTTCAGTTTTCCATAGACTAAACTTTTTAATTTTAGAATGAAGACTTTCCTTTAAAATGCGCTGTTCTCTTTCTTTCTGTT